GATCCGGGAATTCTCTCATTCGTATGAAAATAAACGTCCGTTCCGAATGCGATTTGAATATTTCGCGGAATATCGGCTCGCGATTTGGCATGCGATTTCTCGGGGAAGGATTTTCCGGAGTAGAACGCCACTCAAGCGGATATGTGTTATTTTCTCGCAAAACCGTGAACCTGGAGACTCGACGGCACGGCGTGCAGTTATAAACCCATTACTTGGGAAATTCGCCACTCTCTTTCGACGCGGCTGCTCCCGCAGAAGAGAAATATTTAAGGACATTAACTGTAATTCTGTTTGCTCTAGTCGTACCTTTCCCGACTTCATGGCAACGAGCGCGGGGTACCGTTATTTTAGCCGTATCAATATTGCGAGATGCTGTATTTGCGGAGACAGCCTTGGTTTACGAGCACATAAGGTATCGTTTAACTATCTATTTCTCGCAAAGAAAAAACAAAAAACAAGCGATTTTATCCGTGTTTATAACACGGGCTTACAGCTGGAGGCTAGCGGTTTTTCTATCTTTGCAATATCCCCGCTTAAGAAAGGATCCTAGAATTTAATCACTGATCTGGTTACCTTAGTCTTACCCATATCGTTATGCAATTTATTTATCAACTTATTAAGACACTTGAGACTCCTCTTCCCCTCATTTTCTTTGCCTCTAAATATGAATCAAACGTAGACCTCGATCAAATGAAACTTCTAACGGGAACGTTGTATTGCCTTAGTATGGCATAATTCAATTGATATGTATGTAGTGCAATATTCCATTTGGAATTTAGTGCATTTTCGTGTGTAAGTTTATATGCATACCCTGAGAATCAGTTTTATTGAACCAAAGAAATATATATATTTTGTTTAATAGTAGCAAATAAATATTTTGTTGATTGAAGGAATAATTATTAGACTCAAAGTCAAATAAATTGTCATAATCCTGAAGAAACGTTGCATCCAATTTATTCGAATTGGAGTCGAATAATTATTCTTTGAATTAATAAAATATTTCTTTGGCACTATTCAAAGAAATATTCCTTTGGTTCGATGACATTTTTTTTCTTAGCGTATAAAATGCAAACCCTGAAATCTGAAGATAATTCATATTTTACAAAGAAAAGCTACGCTTCGAATTAATCTTCAATTCGTCTGCATATTAAAAGAATAATAAAAATTAAAAAAAATGTGTATTCAGTAAAGGAGGTAGAGGCTTTTACCGACGACCGATTATTAATCCATTGAAATGCACTTTGTTCCCACGAGGAGGAACATGGCCTATCACATTTTAGTAAACCATCTTTAAACGACATTAAGATTTCACTCCGTGTACTCAAATTAAACACATTAAGTTGAATAATCTGTAAAACCATATTTTCCAATATATATTCATAGAGATATAAGCCTTGAGGCATAAATTCACCGAACTTCTGTTCAGAACCGTAGAAACAATATGCATCAAAAAATGACATATAAATGTAAATTAGCAAAGAAACATGATCTCTTATGCAAATTAGCCCCTACCTACCTATTCTGTCCCACGATGTGATTGCATCGAGGAAATAACACTCTCAAAATGGGATCCGAGTATTCGTTACAAATTCTCTCTACTAATTCGTACACCAGACAGGAACAAGAATCCTTTTAGCTTTGTAAAGAAATGATTATTTCTGGACAGTTTTCTCACAAACATATAAACGATAAGCGTTTCTCGCGTACATGCTAGAACTCACCGGAGAAGAGGACACAGGAGACGAGTAGCCGCCGACGTGAGCGGTGAATTCCTCTTCCCGAACCGGCGAATTCGAAATTCCAAGTGCCGGTTCCTCGGCTCGAAGTTTGGACGCGCGAACGCTTCTCGCAAAGAGCTGCGAAGTTACCCGGTACGGTTCACAAGGATGGCTGGTGGGAATCCTTGCGGCGGGTAGAGTGAGTTCCAAGTTCCCGGGATCGCGCGTCCGGCACGGAGTCGAGTTCGTTCAGAACTGCACGTCAATGAAAGTCGCCGGGTGCCGGGTCGCGCACGTGAAGCCGCGCGCACCCGCACGCCGCTATGCACCTGAACCTGCGCACCGCCCCACCGCGCACCTCTCGGGCTGCGCATGCGTACTCCTTCAAATTCGAGGAACAGTCCCCGCTTCCATTCCACCGTAAATCGACCGCCCAGGAACGGGCTCTAAGGGAATTACACCAATCGTATGCGAGTTATGGGAGGATATACGTATATGGACGTCAGTCTCGTCGAAAGCTAATAGCGCAGGTGCACAGGATGTTAATTAATTCTTTGACAAAAATATATTTCATCTTCATCATTTTATATGATACTTATACGACATACGAGACGTCTAATATTGAGTTTTAAAGACCATGGCTTATCGATGAATGATTTCATACTCACGATAACAAATAAATCAATTGATATAATCGTCGATAGGGTAGGTTAATGGTACATCATGGATTTGCAGAAATAAAAGGTGGTGAATTTAGATTCCATGATTTCATTGCTGGTAACAAATCGTTTCGGATATATGCAATATTGATACATGTCTCTTTATCTTTGCAAAAAGGCGCAAGTTGGTGCAGCTGAAAATAAAATTTGTATAAAGAGGTATTATATAAGAACTGATTCTTTTTTTGTAGCACTGAATTTTTGTTTATGTAAGAGCGACTAATAAAGAATCAAATGCTCACTTTCGATTTATATTTTCCGGGTTTTTCTTTCGTTATCCAAATCACTTATATGTATCGAAACGAGCCTAATGTTATATGATACTGTAAGCTAGGATTACGTAGAAAGCCAGGAAACCAGAAAACACGTTTCCAAAATGATTACCGAAATTTCTTTTCTTCTAAAGGAATATTTCGTTTCACCCACTCAGATGGTGAAATTAAAAGTAACGGTAAGAGTAAAATTGTAAGAAATTCGTAGATGATATGGCTAAAAAGTCATAGTAAAAGTACATGGTGAAGGTAAAATTAAAGATTCTCAAAATAACGCGTTTTAGAAATAAAATTACTGGACCGTTATTTCTCGATCGACTTACTCCTGGTTCTGTTTTTATTAATCTTCTAGGAATTATAAATTGCTTCTAGGTACTCCGAACTTTTAATTCCAATGAAATTGTACACAGGTTTCAGGGCGCGAGAGCTCTTCAGTGTGTGAAGTAAAATTGGGATGGTCAAATGCGGTCGGCTAATAATTATGAACGAATTATGGAGAGAAATTCTGACGTGTTATTATCGAGTCAGCAAGTGCAGACATCGAAATAAGAAAGAAATGCACGAGTTGTCAATTATAGCAAATGGTATGGCGAGAACCTCTCTTCACGCTGATTCATTGATACAGATGAAAACAGTACCACTACAGAGTACAACATTATTTCTCAGTTTGCGTGTTGTTTGATGAAAATGCACTGAAATTTCGAAGACAGAGACAAACAAAAAGACAGAACGACACGCAAACCGTCATTATGGCTCGAACTGACTGTATATCGAAACACCGAACGTTTGCAAAATGGTTTCAAAGACTGATTATTGCCGATGAAAACAGTGAAGCAATACATCGAGACATCTGCGTGCACCTGATTGGAACATCGATTTGTTTCACGTTTTTTTGCTTAAAAAATAATACGTTTCCTAGAAAATCTTCAGTACCACGCGCATCTCATGGCACGGTAATTGTCAATAATAAGTACGATGAGAACAAAGTATTATCTCCCGCAGGAAGAATATATCTGTACGAATCTGATATGAAGAAAATGTAACAATTTTGTTTTTGTATTACCCACTGAACACTGTTATATAACTGTTAGGTAAATGTTACGTTTTCGAAGCTAACGTGTTATGTAGCATAAAAGTAACATGGAAGTTAGATGTTTGTTATTATTTCCCACTGTTATGTAACATGTTCTATTACCGTTATAAGTTCAGCTACCTTAATATAATATTAATTTTTCAAGCATTTAATAAAAAATAATGCAATTCTATAAAAAATTATGAAATTTTTTATTTTGTATTATTTTGTCACACTTGGCAATAGTTAAGTATTATATAATAAGTCAGACTTTAAATGAAATTATGTGAATGATAAACTATGATTTTATTTAAAGACTGATTTCATTCGACTAACAAACAATTATTGATAATGTGTATGCGAGTACGAATTAAAATCACATTTTTTTTCATACGAGTAGTAAACAAAATATGACATATAATAATCTTATGACATTTGACGATGATGATGATGCAGAAAAATGGATGACAGCACCAATGTAGTTCTCTTTTGTTACAAGTATGTACTGCATATACACAGTAATATCAGGACAGTAATATAATGAGATAAGAGTAACAAATGTTATGTAACCTGTTAGCTCTATGTTACAAAACTGTTAAGTTACTGCATTGTAACAAATGGTAACTAGTTAGCTCTATGTTACGTAACTATTAGGTTATTACATTTTAACAAACGTTATGTTATTTGTTAGTTTTAAGTTACGTAACTGTTAGATTTGGTGTTCAGTGGATAATCATATGTAGCAAAACTACATATAAAAATTGCTGAATCCTCAAGTTTTTATTAAACACACTCATGATATACTTTAAAGACCATACCCAAAATGAAAATCAAGTTGTCAAATAGCAATTAAACTTAATCCAATGAACAGTCTTAATTTGTAAAAGTGATGTAACTTTTTATATAGCGCGTGGGACTGGGGGTGAATTGTAAATTCAGACATAAAAAAATTAATAAAGAAAATTAAAAACAAAAACATTTTCGACCTGGCACTATTTAGCAGAAAATGGTTTTTACAAGAATTGTTCTGTGCGTTTCTTGCAACAAATTCCAGTTGCTGGATTTTGCCATGCTATGAACAATGTATTTAGAAAGTTCCAAATAATGAGAAACCTGATCACAACCGTTCTGTTAAATGAAAAACCTGCCCGGAATATTAGTCCACTGGTTCTGTCGTGAACTTTACAAAACCAGACATCGGGTGTAGAAGAAACCGAGGCTTTTTCTTTTATTAAAACGTGTCCACAGTTACGACATAACATACTTGATCTAACGTTTCAACGCTTGACTAGTTTACCGATCTATACTCCATCAATCGTACCTGGTACTGTTACACTTTTCGTCCTGCATATCACGAATAACCTGAAAATTAAAAATAAATATAAATATAAATATCTCTTCACCTACCAAATGGTTTTTATGTATATCCTCGTTCGTCTGCGACTTCGTAAATGGTAATTTCTTAATCACTCTCCCGATTCATCCCAACCGTTACGTTATCTGTATCTTAAGAGAAGATCATGAAACAGTTCGAAAGCGATCGTCGTTTCAAAACGTTCGTTTGTGAAAAATATCGTCAACGGCTTGATGCAGCGTCTCTTAAAGATTGCCGCGTCGTCGATAGTCATTCAATTGCTCAATAAACTTCACGATTGATTTACTCGATATCTCGTTAAAGGCTATTTAATCACTGGCCAATTAATCATACCCCTTTTACTTTTCTTCGGATGAGGAACGTCGTCCGCTCTGAAAAGTTTTTTGCTAAGCGTATCTAACTATACCGGTGCACGTACCGGTAATTTTACGTGCGTCGCAATGGGTGTTTACGTGCGTAAGTTACGCAACAATTACATGATTAACAGGAGAAAATGACCAGACCTTCTTCGCTCCTGCCAACGTCGTCGGGACATATTTTGCGTTGATTGCAGACGCCAGGTTGGAGTAGTTACGGTACAAAATGACTTGATCTTTCAACCATTCCTGAATCTCCGATATTCGGCTTCGAAGAAGGCTCGGGAATTCGTTAGATGATTTTAATGTGACTTCTACGTATAAAGAGAAAAAAAAATCGGTTAATGACACCTTGACTTCTAAACGTGACCCTTTTGTAACGATCGATATCAAACATTCATTAGAGTTCGGTTGAAATTAAACAATGCTCCTTAAGTGGAGTTATTAAGCGTCAGACGTGTACAACGGGTAGATGATTTTTAGGCGCCCACTATAAAATTCATTAAAAAATCATTTACCTACACCCTAAAATTGTTTTTATCAGAAATAAAATTGTAGTTTATAAACGTGCTCACAATTTGTACAATAAAGGATAACTTTTTCAAATCGATTTAAATGTTATCTATAAAATGATTCCATATGATCGGTGTAGACATTATATTTAAGAGAAATGGATGGACTTAAACGCCTGGGTAGAATATTTCTTAAATATTTAAATGCGACTAAATTTCACGGACGAAGTCCTTTTACTGCATGGATATATTATCTTCGAGATAATTATTTAAAAATAATATTCATGTTGTGTACATATATATATATTAATAGATGAAAATTACCAGAACGTGTGAATCCAGTAATGTTTGGAAATTCGAGAGGCTTGAATTTAAGAAATGTTACCCCTTTAGAATGAGATTGCTTGGGAGGTTTTGATCTTGTTTTACGTCTTCTTTTTTCTTGATTACGAAAATGAGCATTTTGTACAAAAACAGACTCGCACTCTCGATAAATTTTCTGTGATCGATCGCTCTTATTTTTAGATTTAACCATTTTTTCACTCTGTTTATATCTTCCGGCAGTTCGTATCTCAGAAATATTCAATATCTTGTTATGTTTAAAAGTTTTTAACGGCATGCTAATGCAATGCTTGGTATCATTATGTTCGTTACTAAACACTTTTATTTCTTTGAGACTTTTCTTTGAATGTAAGAGGTCAGGGCGCTTTGATACATGATTAACAGAGACAGACTTGGTTATAATAGTTTTACGTTTAATAGCATTATTTGATTGAGTTTTCGATGATTGTGATGTATCATTTGATTCAGGTTTTGATCCTCTTATCACTAGATTACTTATATCTTTGGTCACGTTAGGTGATGTTATGACACTCTCAGCCCTCCTGATATCTGTACATTTTTGTAAATTCTGTTGAGGAATTTCTGCCCGGATTCTACTATTTTTGGAGAAAATTTCTTCATCCGTTGATGACATGGATTCAGTTCTTGCTTTGTTAGGAGATAAGACCTTTTCGCCTTCCAAACTAAATAATACCATAATATGTTTATCTTTTAAATTAATTGTTGCGTGTGAATTCTCATTCGCTTTGGTTGGCTTTGAAGAATTTGGTGCTGGGTTAATAATCCGTTCGGAGCAAGTAGAAGAGTTAAATCCGCTACAACTTTGTTTTTCAGTCGTTAACAGCTTCCTATTTGATATATTTTTTAATTTCTTCTTGTTACTTTTTAATGAGGGACAGCTCTGTTGATTTTTAACTTTTTCATGTTCAGAATTTTCCTGTTTTCGTAATTTTACTTTATAATTTTGACTCCTTTGATAATCATTGGTCTGTATTGATGTGTCCACGTCGTTATCATCTGATTCCCTCTGAAGCTGTACTTCATATTCACTAGTAGTATGTTTATTTTTAGATGAAAGTAATTCAATAACTTCTTTTTCTTGAATCCCTATGCTATTTTCATATGAGAAACTTTGGTTCTCTGATAAAATTTGACTATGAGTGTCCTTTGACCGTTGCGATATACATTTTTCTTGGCTAAGGTTTATGTTTTCAGAATTACTTGTTTTGAAAGAATTTTCTGATGATTTTTCATCTTCCTGCATTATACTAGACGAAGTAGAAGAGAATTCAGAAAAATCATCAGTGTAGAAAGAATTTGGACTGTCCTGTGGAATTAAATTTTGCTCTTCATTTTTATGAATTTCTGAAATTATAATTTTATTTGTACCGTTCATGGCAGATTGAATGCTTGCAGGTGAAATGTTGGATACCAAATGATTTTCTTCCTCAATTTCTTCACTGATTGATGTTTCATCAATTACAGAATCATTCTTTACTTCCAAAGAATTTGACTTATTTATTTCATTAGTTAAACTTACTTTAGTGTTAATAGCCTTACTACGTAAATCCATTTCTGAATAAGATATTGGCTCCGTAAAACTGTCAACATTTTTGTTAACTGTTGTAACCTTTAAATTTTGTGATTCTTTTTCATCACTCGTTGAATATAAATCAACGCATTCAATTAGAGCAACTGGTAATTTTATACTTAGCTTCGGTCTTCGTAGTAAATTCATTCCATCGCCAGAGGCAAGGGTTAGCGGACTGTCTACATTATCAACAGTTTCAACTGAACTAATACTACTCGTATTAGATGATGCACAATTTTGATCACGTTCTTTCAGAATATTTTCTTGACTGAACATATTCAGTGATGTTAAGTCTGTTGAGGTTTTAATTTGTGTCATATTTACTCAGCAATGTTACGGCTTACGATGTACTTAGAATTTAATACATGAGAGTTGTCTATGTCAATTTTGACAGATATCGGACAAGTATGCTTAACCTCTTCTTTGTTAGAGCTAAGGTGTTGCCATAACAACTGGATATTTTGATTTACCGCACCATACTTTTATACTTTCAAGCATTTGAAATCATTGGTTATAATTTATTGTCAAAAGTCTCAAACGCTGCAAATCTTTGATTAAACATCAAACGTTTTGGCTAGTGCATGGTTACGAAATGAAATAATAAAAAAACAATACAATAAAGAATAACATATCACATTAAATCTGAAATAACCAAACCCACTTAAAGCAGGATCATAACAAATCTAATATTTGATTTAAAATAGCTAAAGAGCTAACATAATGAAGAACATAATATTACTGCTATAAAATACAAGAATGAATCATATAACCAATAAAGCCAACACATCTTTAAGGAATGCTTTTAATTCTACAAAGAAACTGACGTGTGGCTTTAATTTAACCTACATATTTCTTTTATAACATTCGGAGTGACCAGTCGACCTAGACCATAAAAAATATGTGAGAATCCTAACATCCAGTTTCTTCATTGCAAATATTGTATCTTGCTTGCATTTCGTAAATATTATTTGATATTACCCAATATTATTTTTATATCTACGTTATCATATTATTTTTACTGGCTAGAAATCTGAAAGTTCTACAAGGCGGCGTCCGATCCCGATGATTCTCCTAGTAAGCGTATTGTATCGGTTTAGTAATGTATCGACAAGAGATAACAATGCCTGCGATAAAATCGTACAAAACTCTTAGTGGATACTAACGGAATCATATTGTGTCATGACCGTAGGTGAAAGTTGAAATGTCCGGTATAACTACATTATGCCTACATTATAATTATGAAGAGTATCTCTCGTGTGATGCATGTACTAAAACGACTCTTGTCGCGCGAGGATTGGTCGGTAACTCGAAGTAGTTGCGTGGACTGCCGCGTCACTTTCCGTGGCGCCAAGTGGAGCCGGTCGGACTCCAGCGGTTAGAGCGTGGTCGGAGCTGATTGGTCGGATCGCTTCGTCCAATGAGCGCGCTCCATCTGTCTGCCCCGGCGGCTGCTACACGGGCACCCGCATCTGGCGTTCCGGCATTATCGGTTGGTTCGTTACGTGGATAGGTCCGTCTTGCTTGGGGTTCTCATCTTCGGACGCCCAAATGCGGTCCCTCTGCGCATTATTCGCCGTCCTGGCGATCTCCGCTGTAACCGCGGAAGTCTTCTTCGAAGAGAAATTCCTCGACGGTAAGTGGGTTTCATTTCGCGGCGCGAACGACCGCGACGCTCGCCACGAGTCGCAGCTTCGAACAGCTCGCACGCCCCAGGATTCGCTCCTACACCAACCACACCCTCTACGTGGCTTTCGTATCCCCCTCGCGATGGTCCTCTGTGTCCTGTTTCATTGAAAATATTCTTAAATTCATCAATGTGGCCGAATCTCTTGGCCGCCGACTGAGCTTTCCGAAGATCCGCACCGCTTCGACATACATCGATCCGACATCCTTCAGCCACGCGAAAGTACGGAAGAAATGCACTACCAGTTTTGCTAGAACTACCGGTTTATTTATTCTATAAATTGTGAGAATGCGTAAGCGACTTTTTCCATATGCCACCGTGTCGATTCTGAGAGTGGGATGTGAGAGCCTACTTGCATTTTTTTTTCATGACTCATTGGTTTCAGTAAATAAAATGTAATTTTATTTAAAGTCGTACCAATTGTTGTGTAGGATGTTAGCAAATTGTTGGCAATAGAGTAATCGAGTACTCCATGTTTTTAATATTACGTCGGAGGAAGTGATTTATCTGATCGTTTAAATAGCCTCAAATTTTTTAAGACTAAAATATGTGTACCTGCATGGATTATTCGAAAGTAATATTAAATTTAGCCGTTAATTTCCTTTACGGTTTGTGGTTTACAGGTTTACTTGATCTAATGATTCATCGGATATTACAAACATTATAGCTGTTGTCTTTTTTGTCGTTATTTTTTACCTAAAAATAGATCATGGAACTTTATTTAAAATGTTTATCTATTTGCATTATTCACGATCTCAAAGCATACCTCCTAGCATAGATAACGTAAATTAAGCTTTTTCTGAGATTGGTAAATTTATTTTTAAAGATTATTCTAAGTTAGCGCTGATTTAGAAATAAAAGCTATTGTGCGGTATGCTACAATATTGCATTATTTCTATTTTATCGTCTTACTTTGTTATTCAAATTTCAGTATTTTTGTACTCACTGAAAAAGTGAATACAAAATGCACACATGATATGTTGGAGAATTATTGTCATCGTAAGATTATTGTAAACATTTTACGATTGTATATTGTATCCACAGAAGAAATGGTAAAAGTAGGTGATTTTACAAAAAAAATTGTTAAATTGGAAGTAACATGAACAGTTTTTTAGGCGACAGATATTTACTTTTATTAATTAAATAACTATAGAGTTAGTGTTGGTATTCAATTTATGTTAAACTATTGTAATGTAAATTAAATTTAGTGAACTTATATAAAACCAATTACAAAATTAATTTACATAAGTTCAATTATGGTTTTTTCGTTACAGGATACTTTAATACGTATTGCGTTTAATTTTTAAATTACTAATTGTTTTAGTTCTGTTCACATGTTTAATTAATTTGAGCCAAAATATCTAATTTGAATCATATTTTATATAGATTCTTGGGAGAAGGAATGGGTATACTCGGAGCATCCTGGGAAGGAGTTTGGAAAATTTGTTCTTAGCCATGGCAAATTTTGGAATGATCCAGAAAATGACAAAGGTAACACTCATATTTTACTTAATATAAAAATTATCATTTGTGTTTATATTATTAAGTACAAATAGAGAATGATTTGTCAAGGAAAATATGTAATGCTTTCTTTGTGTGAGAAAGGCATAGAAGATCAATTATGTAAAAATCCTATTCAGTTATAATTGACAAGGATTATCGTATGTTACCATCGAAAAATGATTGTTCTTATTTATAATTCCGAGTCTAGAGTCACTTGTTACTCTTTAACATGGAGAACAAGTGCTAAAGAATACTCGGAAAGCAATAAGGTCTGAATTATGCCCTGAAAATGTGTACATGCATTTGTCAGGTACCAATTGCAGATACACTTTTGTAAAAAATGTTAGTCCTAGGTTTTTTGTTTAAGTAAAAAGTAGTTTAGCAAGTACTGAATATACGTTAAGATAAACAAAATTCAGATTATTAACAAAATTGCTGTGAATACTTGTCAGGTATCCAAACTTCGCAAGATGCAAGGTTTTACGCCTTGAGCAGGAAGTTTACACCATTTAGCAACAAGGATAAACCACTTGTCATTCAGTTCTCTGTTAAACATGAACAGAATATTGACTGTGGTGGTGGTTATTTAAAGGTGTTTGACTGCTCACTGGATCAAAAGGACATGCATGGAGAGAGTCCATATTTGATAATGTTTGGTAAGAATGAAGTGAATAGATTTTGGATATAATGATTATCGCCTTCGTTTATTAATAACATCACTTCAACTTGCAGGTCCGGACATTTGTGGACCTGGTACCAAGAAGGTGCACGTCATCTTCAATTATAAGGGAAAGAATCTTCTGATCAATAAGGACATTCGTTGCAAAGATGATATCTACACTCATATTTACACACTTGTCGTTAACCCAGATAATACATACAAGGTACTACTGACTTTTATTCTTAATTGTCAATGATTCTGTTTTAAAAAGTATTAAGTATCGAGTCCAGAGTCACATACCCTTAGGCATTATCATTGAGGGTAAGTGCTACGGTAACTCGAAGAGCAAAGATTATCTCGCGTATTCTTGGTATGTTGTTTGCAAATACTTACCATTATGTACAATGCGAAGAGCAACAAGCCATTTAAATTGCTAGTATCTCGTTTTTCTTATAATTAAAATATATTAAAAGAACTTGTTACTCCCAGAGTTTTTAATATATTATAGCAGTACTCGTAACGTAATTTTGAAATGCTTTCAGGTATTTATCGACAATGAAGAAGTAGAATCTGGAGAACTGGAAGTAGACTGGGACTTCTTGCCACCAAAGAAAATCAAGGACCCATCGCAGACCAAACCAGAAGATTGGGATGACAAATCTACCATACCTGATCCCGATGATAAGAAACCTGACGACTGGGACAAACCAGAATACATTCCTGACCCCGAGGCATCTAAACCTGAAGATTGGGATGATGAAATGGATGGGGAATGGGAAGCTCCTATGATTAATAACCCAGATTACAAGGTGAATGAATAAATTTGTCTAATTATTCCGGATATCATCGTGCTACTATTTAACACAGAAGTTTTCAACAACGTTTTTCAATCATTTTTAGGGCGAGTGGAAACCAAAGCAAATTGACAACCCGAATTACAAAGGACCCTGGGTTCATCCAGAAATTGATAATCCAGAATACACGGCTGACCCTAACCTTTATCATAAAGATGAAATCTGTGCCGTTGGATTTGATTTATGGCAAGTGAGGGCCGGTACCATCTTTGACAATGTTCTTATCACAGATGACTTAGAGACTGCTAAGAAATTCACAGAAGAAGTCGGAAAACCGACCCTTGTGAGTATTTGCCTATTTTGTCTATTTAGTACATATTACATATTCATATTTAGATTCTTAAATGATGCGAACAAGTGCTTCTGACAATAATGAGAGATAAAATGCTGGAATTCCTCGTTACTGATAATCAACTCGCTGAAAATAATGTTCCCTATCTAGAAAAGGATGTAACTGAATTTATATTTTTTGACATTTCAGGAAGGAGAAAAGAAAATGAAGGAAGCACAAGATGAAGAGGAAAGAAAGCAGAAGGAAAAGGAGAACAAAGAAAGCTCAGAAGACAAAGACGAAGATGAAGATGAGGATGATGACGAAGAAGAAGAAGACAATGCTATTCCTGATGTGGAAGAGGTTAGTACATGTGCAAATTGAGAATAAGTATTTTTTTTTACGCTCTTTACTAAAATTCTTTAAAATATGCGGTTAAAGTATACATTTATTTAACTATTTTATTGCAAGTATTAATATATTTCGGGATAAATTTAGTATGATTAAATGTCTCTCCGAATAGAAGAAATATTCAAAACACTTTAAAATCATGTCGATGATTAAGATTTGATACTTTAAAGATTAACGTTTTGCAATATCAAAATACATTTGATGATTACGTAATTACATTATGATGACCTGTGATGAATTTCTGAATTAGTTGAATGACAAAAACCTGGAATTCCTCGTTTCTGAACTTAATGCGGATATTAAACGTTTGAACCTAGCATACATATGTATATAGCCTCTCAATTATAACGGTTTATCTACTTTTTCAGAAACACGACGAATTGTAAATACGTGTCAGCAGGCACAAACACAGACTGTATTCCAGGAGCTATACGGTCGCGACATGCACTAGCCACAATGGCACACACACACGCGACTTCGAGATGGATTTCCGTATAGCATATATGAGAGGGGTTCTTCCAATGTCGCGTAGACGGAAAACGTGATATAAACGTAAAATGGAAACCCTTGCAGTCAACGCCTCAAACTCGAAGAGTGACTTTTGAAGATCCTGATAGAAGACAGCAAATGCTGGGAATCTGCCAATTCGGGGATTACATGATCACTCGATCGCCCTCCTTGCCTAACGACGGACGAGGTGGTCGATTGAATCGCGTGGGTGTGTGTGTGTTACACTCGCGAGCAAGCAAAAAAAAGTTGTCTTTACCTGCGCCTACAAGTGCGCTGTGCCGTCGCAGCTCCAAAAGACTTAAGTTGTTCCGTTTTTGTTTGTCGAGTGTTTTTATATACATAAAGAGTAATTGAAAAATGTAATTTAATAACGCTATATAATATTATTTCGTTCTCCGTACGGCGTATGCGTAATTCACTCCGTAACTACTAGTAGTTAAGTCAAAGTGGACGGTGCGTGCAAAAATGACTGAGTGATAATAATTGATAATTATATCAAGCCACCAATAATCGTGTAATAAATAAATAAGACTTTTCTAGATGTGCTCAGGATGTTTATTCTTGGACAATATCTAGCTGTGAGATTCGTTTCGTAGATTCATTGATTACAGTGGCAAAGATGAGTGTATTTCATTTTTGACAGGAAAGATAAATTAATGAATATGCAGATTCCCATGAGAGTATATTTTGGGATTTGTTTTCCCATAAATGATGGTTAATAGAATTCTGTTAATATTGCAAGAAATTATTACATGCTCTTGTTTAGAAGCTCTCGTTAACTTAAGTTTCCTTTAACATGAAAAGTTATAGTGACAAAGCAACTGTATTATAGTATAAAACTGGCAAACAAGTAAGTATTAACTTTCCATTTAAATATGTACTCTGCCATGATTTTCATAATTCGATAGTTTTTAAGAGAACAAATCAGTAAATGATATGGAAGTAGAATGGGCATGTAATTTTGTCGTAATTAGCATTCTTATATTTACTTTAAGATACGGTTTGAGTTGGATAAAGAGCCCCATGAGCACTTAGCTGTTGTGTAAGCCAATCCAAACCTTGGGTAGAGCTGCTGGCATCAATTAACGGCGAAGAACCTTGAATGTGCCATGTTCTACCGCAACATAGTTTTTGTAAAGATAGAACATCGGTCAATTCTTCAACACTTGCACAGCCTGCTACATCCTAAAAAAGAATTAGTGAGATGTAGAGATATTTCTAATTAGCAATAGTTATGAAAATCAAAATCCGTTGACAGGTACCTGTTTATTGGCATAAATTAGAAAAAGAGCGTCTTTAAGCTCACGCTCACTAACTATTTTCGATAACTCCTTTTGAGCTTCTTCAAAACGAGAACTTTTGCTGGAGTCGACTACAAAGATTACTGCCTGCGTATTATGATAATAATGTTTCCACAGTGGTCGAAATTTATGCTGACCACCTACATCCCATAGGGTGAATACTAGATTCTTATATTCCAGGCTCTCCACATTGAAACCTATAGTTGGAATTGGCGGACTTGAAAGAGTCATGCCTCTCATTGCAGAAAGAATACTCGTCTTCCCAGCTCCATCTAATCCCAAGATTACTACCCTCATATCGATCTTTGTTCCAATATGTACTCTATTGTCCTGTAAAGTCATGTCATTAATATATATTAAAATGGTAAAGATAAAATCATTAATACCGTTGAAATGGTAAATGAAAACGAAATTACAAACCCTGCTAAATATGATAGGAATTGATGATTCAGGAGTAAGCAAATCAGGACTCAGCTGAGCATAATATTGTTGCTGTTGTTCTAAAGATACTAAAACTTCTTTGACTTTCTCAGCACTGCTCAGTAGCTTCCAGTCTTCGGAATCTAATATACCTTCACACTGGATACAGATTTCAGCAACCTGTGATCTGGCTCCAGTTAAATCTTTTTGCTGTTGTCGCAGGGCAGCTAACCTATTACGAGTTTCTGTATCTATACATGTCATGGCAGCCTTCTCTTGTTCCGCTAGCATAGATCTCAATTCTTCAAAATGCTGCCGTACTCTTTGCCGAGCATTTTCAATTGCCCAACCTTCGAGTTCTTGTATCACAGTTTCTAAATAAAAGAAGTGGAATTTGAATTTAAATTAGATACTTTATGACGGCTATTGAAATAAAATAGAGTCGTACCAATTCTATGCGCGGTATCCCTCATGTTTTCCATAAATTGCGTCATTTTTTGAAGTGCAGTAATAATTGATTGTCTGATATTCTCAGCTTCAATTTCGACTAGTGCAGGCTAGAATTAAGTTTACTGTAAAGTATGTTGATGTAGCAGAAATTCAATGTAGGACTGCTTACTTTATGAGTATTATGACGACCATAATCTTTACATAGATAACACATCAATGCATTGTGACAGCCTTCTTGAGTACACGTAAAATCTGCAATATGCGTGGCATGTATCGGACATTTTGGTTTTTCTCTTGGTTTCTCTGAAATTGGTACTCGTCTATGTTTGGTCAACGTTCTCGTTGAATGAGTAATAACGTCACATTCCTCGCACAAATGAGTCGCACAAACCATACAATACAATACTGCAACATGTGATTCATCTTCATCACAACGAGTTGATTGCAGTTTCTCTCGTTCCAAAATTAAAGACTTTTCTCCATTAGACTGTTCTAATTTTTCTAATAGCTCGATCAGTGCAAAGTTCTTTTTTAAGCTATAAACACCAGTGTCGGTAACTTCTGTCGGTTGCCTATCAAATGGACATAAAAGAAACTGTTGATCCGATATGGATGGTCGGAGTCGCAAAAGACAAGAGTGACACACCGTGTGGCCACATTGTAATAGACGAGGCACTTTCGTGCCTTCTACGGAAAATACTTCTTCGCAGATTCTGCATTCTAAAACCTACGAAAAGAACACACTTTAACTCATTATACGACTTAAAAAATCTAGATGGCCTACTTCTTTGTCATGTCTGGAAGATTGGTACGATTCGTTAATACTTTTTGATCAATTTTCCAGTGTTCTTTACCAAAATAAACATTATTTTCAGATAACTTCGCTTAACTACCAAATTAAGGGAAAAGTCACATATTTGAAATAAAAATAATTTAATAATAAGTTCTCTAAGCCATGAAGATGATCAATATGTTAAACTATTATTTAGTACAAGAGCAAATCTGACAAAACTCATGTAATAAGTGAATTATTAACAAATTATTCTTATTTTGCAAAAAATCAAATTACTTTCCCTATTCTCTTAAATCGAATTAGATAAATAGTCACTTTATAGACTATCAAAGTATACGTAATAAGAGTCTTACATTAGATTTTGCATTCATGTTGAGAACACATTTAAAATAGCTATTTAAATGGCTGGCATCCTCTGTCATTATGCGTGTAAAATAATAACTTGTCAATAATTAGTTTTGACAGTCCTTGTCACGGTAGCTTACAATTCTGACAGATTCGATGGATCACAACTGCTCGAAAAATACTGCTTCCCGTTTCCAATGTTTTCGTAACACGCATACTTGAAATTGTTTCTACCAGGATAAAAAGAGATAATATTATAACCATAACCATATGAGAAAAAGAGAACACCTAGTTAGTCAAAAGTTTTACGATAACATATTCAGGTTATGTTCAGAAATTTGCCGTTTGATGGTTTTAGTTCGGCACAAGCGCCCTTCGTGGAACCATATACATTATTTTAAGAATTTTGAAAGCACGGCTGCAATAAGATGAGTTGGGAGCATAGACATAAAAATATAGAGACAGAGTGTAACGCTGCGAAATGTCTATTCGTGAGCATTTTGAAAACTTTAATTCCCAATATAGTGGCAGAGATGAGCCTGCCGTGAGCAATCTCCCATCTCATCTCTGCTGACAATTTCTAAATGGAAAATTTAATTTATTTCTGTTGGGTTCTACAGAAAATGGAGCTTCGAACGGAATTCTTAAATTCATGTTTTTCTTATAATTCATTAATCTTGGTTCTTTTAACATGTTTTCAGAATACTCCAATCTAGTATAGCTTCACTTTGCTCTATTCTCATACAGTTCTAAAGGTATACGGATTCAGCTCATCTGCAGAACCTTCAGAATGTGGAGGGGGAGAGTATACACAAATGGTCGAAATGTTTCATCGAAGATGCGGGGATCGTGTATATTTAATAAATAATAATTGTACCGCCGTGAGAAATTTCTCTGAGTACAATTATGGACTTGTTCTTAGTGCTGAGCCACTTAAAGATGATGAATTATTTGAAGTGCGCATCGATAAAAAGGTATCACGACCTAATACAAGTGCTTACCTGATTGCACATGAGATGATACTTAACGATTTAATTTAATTTTGATATTGCCACGTCTCGGAAAACATTTTATTACGTAATATGTTGTTTTATACCTCGTGTACGATGGTTATGCAATTTGTAATTTCTCTGTTAAATTTTATGACACATCAGATTTTCCATTTAAACATTCAGTGCTTGTCAAATTTGGAACATTTTAAAAATGATGCGTGCAGTAAATTAATGTATTTAAAATTTGTATTCTCGCCTTGAACTTTTTTGTGTATGCTTTATCTGGTACCTGATTTGTGTTATTTTAACAGATACGAATTTCATTACTCTTTATCGTATTAAGAACAACTTCCAGTCATGGTTTTGTTATGACGTATTTTTTCTTTAACAGCATTTTATATACGAATATTGAGAATTCGTTTTAAGATTTCCCTTTTGTATCTCAGTTGATATCATGGAGTGGAAGTATAGAAATTGGTGCAACATCGTGCGATCCAGAAACTACGGAATTACCAGCCTGTGCGACAAACCTCCGCCATGGCACTTGGATTATGACCAGCTCAGGTATAGTGTACGATGGTGAACCTGTTGTTGAGCTTTATGGTACCGATCCTGATACTCTTGAAGAAGGACATACTCTTGGTGTTATGCGGACTTCTAATGTAAGAACATTACTTCTATTGACTTATTCTTTTGGATATAAAGAATAATTTGTGTTCATGTTATTTTATTTTGGTAATTATTATAGGATGAACTCGTGTTCTATGTCAATGGAATTTCGCAAGGAGTAGCCGCTACCAATATTCCTTCACGAGTATTTGCGGTTATTAATATGTACGGTAACTGTGTACAAGTAACCATAACTCGTCCACAACTTGGCCTTGTTCCAGTTGAGCCAAAAGACGTATCTGAAATAAATAACGATTATGCCCTTGGTGAAGCATCCAATTCAACGACAACAAATATAGTTGCTAATTTGAATGTTAATTTGAATGTCAATGTGAATGTTAATCTCCCTAAAAATCCAAGTCTTGCAGCTATACGTGAGGATCGTTTGCGATTTCATGAAAGAGGGGGATCACTAGTTAAATTATCTAATAATGGAAGAACGGCAGAAAGGAGGCGGCCTCTTGCTGAATTTAACAATGGAGTAGTAATGACTCACAGACCTCTCCGAGATAATGAGTTATTTGAGGTAAGGAATTAAATATTAGTGAAAATGTACATAAAATGAGAATATTACCAATAGACCACTTTTTAGATCAGAATTGATCGTCTAGTTGACAAGTGGTCCGGTAGCATTGAAGTTGGAGTTACAACTCATAGTCCAACCGCATTGGAATTTCCAGCTACAATGACAAATATGAGATCTGGTACAACTATGATGTCTGGTTGTGGAATTTTAACTAATGGCAAGGGTATACAGCGAGAATATGGGGAATTTAATTTGGATGAATTACGGGTAATTAAAAGGATATTGTCAAAGTAGTATCAAAGACTTGTCTTATAAATTATCATAATATATTTATTTATTATTCCTGCTATCAGGAAGGAGATAGAGTAGGCATGATAAGAAAAAGTAATGGAAACCTTCACTATTTAATAAATGGCCTTGACCAAGGAGTTGCTGCTAAAGTTCCAGCAAGCATATGGGGAGTTATAGACCTTTATGGAATGACTGTAAAAGTGACTATTGTTGATCGAGATGAAAGGGAAGAACAGAATCTAGTTACAAGAAGAAATACCTTACAACTGCAGGGATTGAATGGTATGTGTAATATTTTTTAATTAACATCATTTTTCTCATATTCTCACTCAGGTGTAACAAGGTTTTCTTAAGTAGACTATGTCCGTATAAAATAAGATGTATATTTATTCTAGAAACAATTTTCTTAAATGTATGTGTTATTGTTTTTAGAAACTGGAGAAGAAGAACCGTTGGATAGACTAATGTTTCACATATGTTGTGGAACACATGCCGATGTCATTAATAACGGACGAACTGCGCACAGACCAAAGTAAGTTGAATGTTCTAATTTATTTTCGTGTTAATTTTATACATAACAGTATCATGAAAGAACTTTTTTCTTATAGTGCATTAGTTGATTTTAACAATGGTGTAGTACTAACATCCCGTCCATTAAGGCCAAATGAATTATTCGAAGTGAGACTAGATAAAACAGTCGCTAAGTGGTCTGGATCTATTGAAATAGGAGTTACTACTCATTCTCCAACAGAATTAGAATTTCCTTTTACAATGACCAATGTTCGGTAAGTTAAGTTGTTAGGTGTCGTATGTTATCATTTTTTAAATAATGTACTACTATTTTAATGAACAAGTTCCTTTCCTACTTCTAGGTCTGGTACATGGATGATGACGGGCAATGGAGTTATGCACAATGGAACAACTATAATAGACCAGTATGGTCAAAATCTTGATCGTTTGCAGGTTGGAGATCGTGTCGGAGTAATGAGAAAAGATAACGCGACATTACATTTTTACGTAAACGGCACAGATCAAGGTGCAGCGGCAATGGGTGTACCTGAAAGAGTCTATGGCGTCATCGATTTATACGGTCAAGCAGTGCAAGCAACGATTGTTGATAACACTGATTCCTACAGTCCAACCACAAACAACTCTAGCTTCAGTAATACTACATTGTACAGGTATGCAATACATTTTTTAAATTATACTAGGTTATCTTATACCATTATGAATCACTTATTAGAATAAATGTAAACTCCTTCAAAAACTTATTCCATTGTAAATTTGCTGTAAATTGTATTATTTTATTTATAGTGACCTTCGTTTTCACCATGTTCATGGAAAAAATGCAAGAATCACAAACAATGGATTAACAGCTTCCAGACCTAGAGCTTTGGGGGAATTCAATGAAGCAATTGTAATAGCTAATAGAGCTTTACGTGATGGAGAAATGTTTGAAGTGTCCATTGACAAATTGGTTAATCGATGGTCTGGTGCTATTGAAGCAGGTACGTGAAAATTACTTGAGAAAACGAATTTGTTTCTGAAGCTATGGAATGATTAGTATGAAATTGTTGCTTATCACTATAATTTCATACAGGAGTTACAGCTATCAGACCCGACGAGTTGAAATTTCCTTCCACTATGACTGACATCGATCATGACACTTGGATGCTCTCTGGGTCAACGGTGATGCGAGATGGCCTTATACTCCGAAATAATTATGCATGTGATCTAGATAAATTAGTTGAGGGTAATCGAATAGGAATAATGAAACATCCAGACACATCTTTACATTATTATTTGGATGGAATTGATCAAGGTGCTGCTTGTACTGGATTACCAGCGCATGTTTATCCAGTTATTGATTTATATGGGCAATGTGCACAGGTACATAATAGCCTCTTGGGAGTTGTATAAATGATTCACATCGCCTTAACCGGTATGTTTTCATCAGGTCACTATCGTACTACCGGAGAGAAGGGATACAATGACACAACAATATCTCCCTTCGGAGAATAGTACAAGTCAACAACCTACGTCTGTGATACAGCCACAAGCACAATCAGAAATAACTCATAAATTCCATGAATCTGTAGGCTTGAATATTCAATTGAATAGTGAGAGAGTTGTTGCTACTCGATGCAGGGAATATAACAATGCTATTCTACTAAGCGAGGCTCCTCTAGATAACAACGAATTATTTGAAATAACTATTCAAGAAGTTGCACATGAATGGAGTGGGTCATTAAGGATTGGTGTTCTAAGCAATGAGAGCGGTAGTTGGTTGACTTCTATGAATCTTGTTCCAGGCATGACATCAATTCCTGCTGATTCTTGGTATTTAATTGGTAAGTACGAGACAAAATTTTCTTATATAGTTTTATTAATAAATTTATTTTATTTTAGGACATGAAGTGAGACATAAGAACTACGTTCTTTGTTTAAACTATTGCCCTAGTTTGGAATGGTTGCGTGTTGGCGATAAGATTGGATTGAAACGAACTCATGAAGGCAATTTAAAATTTTACGTCAATGGAGAAGACATGGGAGTAGCTGCAGTAAATGTTCCTGAGTCAGTGTATGCTGTCATTGAACTTTTCGGTAGTACTTTGGCAGTCAGCGTAACCAGCACCAAACAACAGAATGCTGTTATATCGCCAAATGCTAGCCTTAGGCTTCAAGATTCTTTAGAATTGCTCCTGGATCCAATGCCCCCAACAATAAGAAAGTAAGTAATACTAAGGTAAAAACGAGCATAAAACAGTTCAGTACATCATTCAGTACGTTTATTTTATACCGTTCTGTTTTAGCGACGTCGGTATGGATACATCAGTTGAAGTGTCCGAAGCGAAATTATTCAATGAAATGGTGCTCACTCCAACGCAGCCCATTGTTACGTCAACTGGAGACGTAGATTGGAATTATGAGTTTTATGAAAATCATGGCAGAAATGTGGAGCTCGAAAGAAAAACAGTCGCAAGAAGAGTAGCTAGCTATAATCAAGGTTACCATTAAATTACTCTCTATTTTTCTGTTATTTTTATACAATAGTTCTCTCATAAAGTATTACGAACACAGAAATAATTAATTCAATTTTAAATCGTTCTTTTAGGCGTTGTAATGACCAGTCGCCCTTTAATTAAGGGGAAGATGTTCCAAGTAAGAATTGACAAAGTTAACGATCGGTGGGTATCTGGAATGCTATGCGGTGTTTCTTGCGTTTCACCGGAAAAGGCTAGTTTTCCTTTAACAGCTCTCGGATTTAAAAAGCACTCATGGATCATATGTAGCGACTGGGTGTCTCATAATGGAATTAAAGTGAGTACTCTTAAAGATTCAATAATGATATGTCAATAATTCTTAATTGTGATATTAGAAACAAGAAAATTGTATGAAATTTTGATGAATTCAGGTATACGTAAAATATATTACCTCACTTATTTATGATAGATTATGCACCAGGGAATAAGAGATTATTAAAAATTCAAACATTTCATACTCTATATTACTTGATGCGGTCAACGTTCGTAAAATCTGTTCTGACATTATTAGATCTTTGAGTTATTTTTGTATTATATATTAAACATGTTTTTATATGCACATTACTTTGTAAAATATTACTAAATACTATTCTATTTTACTATCATATGTGCTAAATCTTTACAGGTTAAAACGAAATACGGGACAAATCTGGAAAGTCTTCAGAGTGGTTCCACAGTGGGATTATTGATTGACGAGGACTCCACATTACATTTGTATATTAACGGAGTAGATCAAGGGATAGCGGCCACGGATTTGCCTCCTTATGTCTATGGAGTAATCGATCTGTATGGGCAATGCGAACAAGTGTCAATTGTCTCGTTGACATCAGAGCCTGTATATTCGAGCAACGATACCAACAATATGGCAATTGTAGCCACTCACGAGTGCGCTGAGACAGAAGCAGACGATGCAGACAATTCTAGGGAAAAGGCTGATTTAGAGTGCCACGAAAAGGAAAGCGCAGTTCCTATGACTCCTTCTAATCTCTCTTTAAATATACAAAGCCAAAGTGACTTGAACGACGAGCCAACTAGCGATAACGTAGAAAGTCCACATCCTCACTCATCGCACAGCAATAATAATTCGAATCTCAACGCTATCAGCGTTGTACAAGCGAAAGCAATGTCGAGCAGCGTACACTCGGACAGCAATAATTCGGATACAAGCTCCGAGATGGGCAACGATGCCAAAAGCACCGCAAATGTCAAAGCAAAGAATTACGCCGATAATGCAAGTAACTTGCTGGACAACAGCGCTACCTCGCAAAATCAGGCTGAGAATAACAGCGAGGACAACAACCCAGCAGTACACAACACTGCGATATCAGTACATAATGGTTCTAGCAACGTGTTGAACTTTAAGGGGGAATGTACCAACGTAGAAATAAACAATGCAACGAATATAAGTATTAAGAACGGCTCAGCATCTAGCAGCAGTAACATGGCGAATCTCAACACAGCGATTAATTCCACAAACGCTAATAATGCAATAAATGAAAGTATTGCATCCAATGGTCAGGTCAATAATATGAGCTCTATCTTGCAGAATAACATATTGACCACTTCTCAAAATAATTCCGCAGCGACGCAAAATAATTCTGTAGCTTCTCAGAATAATGTCGCCCCTACTCAGAATGCTTTACAAGGCGGGCTGCACAATATTTCAACCTCATTGACTACTTCCTCGAGCAGCCCTCAGGAATCGCAAGCGAATTTGGCAAGGCACGCTCAGGTGCCAAATAACTGTCTAACAAATGTGGTAACTAGTAGTCAAAACAATCATAGTCACAGCCTGCACAATTTACCTCTGGCGTTGTCCGTGCAGGTTGCGTCGTTGCCGTCCACGCCATTGGGAACTGCTTCGCTACAAAAGAAGTGCGAATATTTAAAGGCTTGCACGCGTTTGAAAAAGTCTCTTGTACTTCCCGATGAATTCTTTTCCCATGATGAAGTATTGTGTTATTGCTGTTCTTGTTACAAAGTCGAAGGTGACAGTGCAATCTGTAGAAAGGGCGAGCCACCTGCGGAATTTGCCATTCCTATTGGATGGGCAAGGTTTCCTTTGAAACAGTCTATCAATGCTAATCAAATACCGCAGAGTACTACAGACAAATGGCACGTTGCCTTCTACGGCTCGAGGCTAGATGCGGTTAGGTAAAGAAAGAATTAATACAATATGAATCCAATGTTCTCGAAATAAATATGCTAGTGTGCCAATCGGACACGTAGGGAAATATGATAGTCACAGAAGAGTTGCAAGACTTAGTAAATGCACAGTTTTATAGAGATTTAAAAATCTATTAAGGTGAAGTGAAACACGTCGAGGAACTTGATCGATGTCAGCAAAAAAAGGTTTTTCTAAATACCTACGTTGCCGGCGTTCGTTTTTATATTGACGGCTGTGTCGAATTATTTGAGTATTGTACTAAATGGCATACTCCACGGGTCGTTTTCGTGCAATAATTATAAAGAAATTGAAGCAAAACTCCAGAAATCTCCTGGATTCATGGTTTGTGGGGCCCTAATTGACTGCAGCGTGACACCCTACGCCATCTGTGATTTCCATATCAATTAAGTTTTCACTCTGAGACCTCATATTACCATCGTTTTAGCATAGAAGCGCATAAGACACTTTTTTTGCCTTTATCGCGTTCAAATGTAAGTTTCTCGATTACCAGAGTGTTCTAAATTGTCATACAATTGTCCTGACATTTTCGTTTCTCATAATAGGAGCCTTCAATAATTAGATATCGATCGAAATATGAGAGCTCGACGCCATTTTGGTTCTGTTCTGGGTTAAGTTAAACAACTTTTTTGAGAAATCCAAGTTTTGAAAATATCAGAATAATTCTTAGGTGCTCACGAGCCATGTATCAAAGCTTCATACAGTTCTAACCAACCCTTAAAAGAAAGTGTCTTATTTGAATCAACTGATTTGAGGGGGGGGTTTCACTTCACCTTAATTGTAAATATTTAACCAGAATTAAATGTTTCCTTTTGCCAAAAAATGTTGTGTAAAGTACTTGTTTATTAAATGTTGAGAAACAGTATATAAAGAAACGAGTAATTAAGTAAAGGTATCTATTAGTATATTTTTTTTGTATTTCTAGATGGATACTTGACCGAGGAGAGTTATTAACTAAGGAACAACTGGATACCAGTAACTTAACCACGAGCATAAATAGTGAGGATCAGAATCCTCAAGTGGTTTTTTCACCAAATATCAAATATGCAGCATCGGAAGAATTTACCAGCAAATATCCGTAAGAGAATTATATTAATATCCTGAATCATTACATTAAAGAAATGTGGTTTTAATGTACACGCATTGTTATGTTTCAGGTATATCGATACGGAATCGAATAGGAAAGTAAATGCATCCACTGCATTTCAATTGTTAGTAAGGCCTGGTTCGTATACAATGGGTCCTGCGAAGGATAGTGTCGATCCAAATTTAGAATTTACGGAATGGGCTACGAAGGAAGCTGGAGCTACTGTCATTGTAGCTCTTCTCATTCGCTTAGACGGCTATTAAACTTGAAACTAAACGCATAAATTGCATTTGATGCATTGGAGGTATTCAAATGATTTGTACTTTTTTTCTATTGCTGCAACATATTGATATATTTCATATGCTTGCATTATGAACCCGCTAACAGAAGAGCTAATTCCAAATGAATCACTCGTGCAAAGTATGCAAGAGGAAGACTCCAATGGATTTTGTACAGCAACACTTAAGTTATTCTAATGTGTATACCTAAATTTTAACGACAACTTCCGTGAGGCGGGCAGTTTTCAACCGTGCAATAGTCGACGATTATTTGTATTTTATATTAAAATGAACCGCATTATTTGACTTTAGATAGTGCACTGAGTTATATTTGTTTTGTATATGATGGTCGAACAACGATTCGTTGTTAAATTTATTGATTTTATGATCGTCGTAGATCCTCAAAGCCTGACTCCAAAACTGTTTAGTATAGTCGTATTTATTAATTATGCTTGTCGAATTAATCTAGCAATAATTAGGGAGGATTAGTGTGCGACATTAACACCAATCTTTAAGAGAATATCTCACAGAAGTGACGAATAACATTTTTTATTTACAAAAATGTAATAATTTCGAATGTAGTCGATCAATTGTTCTGGTATTAAAAATTGGTAAAAATTCATGGATATTGACAGATAAGTCCGAAGTTAAGAAAGAAAGGTTTTACGTTTAAAAATTCATGATTTTTTAAGGGTAAACTAATCCAATTGATTTAATAAAGTTTAATGATCGCGCATAAAAAAGAACATTTTATGCATTTTTTGCTTTCATTCCAATTTTTGTGAGATATTCTCTCAAGTTCATTTTTACACACGATTCAATACATTGAAAAGAAATTCCGTTCGCTTTTATCTGTTTTTTTATCGGAATATACTTTGCCTCACCCTACTGTACATACAAACATCGCTCTAAGGAAGTTATACATATGCCCAGTATAATATAAAGCGCATTTTTCTGTGATACTTTTACTACGGTGTATATGCTCCGTATTATGGTAAAAATACAAGACGACCATTCGATATTGATTAATTATGGTCTTTGTGTTTTGTTTGGATCTATTGTTGAGAGATATTATTCCAATTATTGTGTTACATGATTATTATCATGCCTTGGATAAGCATTCTATTATTCCTAGTTTAACTGCGTCTTTAAACATCTAAGGAACGTCAAATAGTATTCTCTTCGATGTACTTTCAAAGTCAAGGAGTTCTGCTTAAGTCGAGGGAATGATTTAAGAATTATTCGAGTCAGCGCAGTGGATATTTTGAAAAATTCTTACGAGCTAATGACATAGCAGTACCATGAACGTTACCTTTACTCACATCACATGAAAACTGCAGAGAATGAATAATTTAATTCACGTTTACACAATTGGTAGATAATTGTAGTTACTCCATAAATAAGTACAGATTAAGCAATTTAATTTGTTTTATTAGAGGATTTTAGTTGGCACTTCAGTCAACCTATTGAAATATGCAAAGGTGAAGCGTATTGCACATCAGATAGTGGGATAATCTGGAGTTTTATCTTTATGGACTTAGATCGTTTTTTCGTGTACTCTTCGTATTATTCCACATCTTTTGAACCCCGTAAGGCACGCATTTTTTCCAAATCTTCCAATAAATACAGCACGATACGTTGTTACCGTAATCGTATACATGTATTCTAGTCATTGATATTATGTAAAGGAATATTTCCTCAAATTTTCGATTGCGATACTTTTGGCAATGGCTAGTCGCCACTTTTAGGTTTGCCGATATTTCGAGATTTAGTAACAGCGAAGTATGATACAAATCCGTTTCGCCTAAAAAGGGTTTACAGAAATGGATTGACGTAAGATATGTAATTAATATATAGTTTAAACTCTGCAATGGCGATAAATGATGGAATGACACTATCAAGCGAGGATACAGGAAGTCGAAATATTCAATAATTTTAATAAATTCATTCTCTTTTGGGAATTATGTTCATTTAATATTGATCCTTTGGAGCAGGGGTTTATCTTGAAATTTGGTTTATACGGCGATTGGTAAATTTATCTACTTAAAAAGTGAAAAGTGAAAGAAAATTGTCACTCAATGAACGGTCGAATTTGAATCCACTTACGATGTATTTTCGAGATCGGAGGAAGAGAGAAATATTTTTCAAGAAAAACTGTAACTACGTCGCTAGTAGAAATAATGATTGCGTCTAAATTCACCAACGTTAGAAAAACGAGAAATAGAGGATTGAAGTATTATTTTTAGAATAAGGAATAATCTATCCAAAGTAATGAGTAAATGTTAATTAAGAATCTTCTTTAATGTCCTATAGTAAACTTGACAATGTTTCTAAGTTGATTGTTTCAAATGCATTGATCTAATTTTTTTTTTTTCACGGTAAATTCCTTGTTATCTTTTGAAAATATAGTACTTCTTGTATAATGCCTAATAGCAGAAATGTATTGCGCAGTAGATCCCTACTATATTGTTCACAAAATTGAGGAATAATAGATAGTATTCCATGATAAATTATGTAGCGTTATTCTGTGCTAGGATAACCCGATATAGAAACAGTTTTCAATTCATATAACTAGGTGAAGATCGAAACCAATGAATGATATCTTCAAACAGTGCATTATTATTAAGATTCTCCATCATGGTTATTATTACCGTCATTATTATAAGTATCACGATTATTATTTATAAATAATATACATGTAAACAGAGAAAGGCGACGTGACTAAATTTCTATCGTATCACCATTACTGCAATGTCTCTGTTGAAATTGTTTTACAGTGAAATACGTTCAGAAATGTGGTCATGTGATAGAAAATTGTAATAAACAACAATATATGAATCGATACCACAGTCATGATTCTTTGTTCTGATTCCATCATATCTTAATCTAACTACAATGCAGTGGAACTTAATATTTTCAGTCAACAATTGGGAATTACATAATAATACGCAGTAACAGGTTTCGTAGAATATAAATTGTTAGTTTTTTACATTTCCTGAAATGTGAGTTCAATTCATCAAATGACTATATCAAATTAAATAAAACACGAATATCTTTGTTGCGTGAAACATTACATATTTCGGTTGTTGCTCAAGATGGGTCAATTAATTGGTACAATAATATTCTTCTCTAGACCCAGATTCTAACATTTTGATCCCAGGAGCAGCTAGCTACTGCCATTCCATTTCCTGCTACACTTAGCGATGTCACTCTGTTTTCGTGTCCCGATAAAACACCTTAAAAAGAAAAACGGATTAATAGATGGCGTATTATAATTTGTGTCAATACTATAACATTGTATCATGTCTGCAATCGGTTCTTTTAATTCTATGCGCATGCGGTTAAAGGATTGTTTAATTGTTTCATACTACATTTAACGCTATATTAAGTACACGATACAATACTTTTTGGTAGCGTTTAAACGTACTGTTTAGGATGGTTTCTGATGAATATAACATTCCGTATAGTTAATTACCTACATATTTTTCACCTACCATTGTGTTGAACTTTCAGCGTATCCCATATATGAATTGAATTATCATCGCTTCCGCAAAATATGAATCTACCGCTAAAGGAAAGACCACAAGATGTAAAGCCAGGCTGCGAGTTTGGTGGCTTAAAAGTTGCTAATTGTTGATCAGATCTTAAATCCCAGATTCGAGCCGTTTTGTCTTCCGATGCTGTTACAAACGCTTGGCCTGAAGGATGAAACTGTAAAATAATTATATAATTAATATTTACTTGGTCAGAGCCTATACTGCTCGTAATTATAGCAGAACCGAAGTGCTGTTAAGGTGATGTAAAAGTGGCGCCAAAGTGATCTCGCTTACGAAACTTTTCTCCAAATTGGGCGTACCGAACTGTTTCAAACTTTACAATGTGAAAATGGAAGCTATAAGAAAGGTCCTTACATCCATGATATTTCAATCGTAAAAAATGTATTTATAGATGTTGGTAAAATTGTTTATAAAAATGATATTTCATGGGTGCCGGGACCTTCTTCATCGATTTCATATTCACGTAGTGAAATTTGAAACGGTTCGGTGCATCCAGTTCGGAGAAAAGTTTCACGAATGATTGACTGCTCAGGTGGCACTTTCACATCCCCTTAAATCGAAGCGTGAGTGACAAATAAATATTGAAACTGATAAATATATCATAAACATCTCTCTTTTACTAAATAACTTAATGAAACGTCAAATTAAATTTGTACGGATTTTTCTACATCTCTGATTATATCACCTTTTGATTCAAAAAGGCATTTAGGTTGTTACCGCGAAATCTACTTTTTTGACTGACATTAAACACAATTTTGTATATATCACTTTCACTCCTTACGCAAACGGAGTTAACATCGGCCTCGTGTCCAAAGAAAGTTTGCTTCGCTTTTTCCTCCCTTAAATCCCAGATTTTACACGTTTTGTCAACCGAACCAGTAAGATAAGTGTTTCCATCAGGTGACAAACTGATGCTGACTACATCACCAGCATGACCACAAAAATCGGTCGTTTTTTTGTTGGCTTCCAAATCCCAAATGCATCTAGAGAGAAAAAGATAAAAGAATCAGTGAGCGTCGGAGAAAGACACTTGTTCTTTTCTAAAATGAAATTACATTTTCATATCACCCGATCCCGTGATGATCCTCTTGTCTTCAAGAAATCTGCAGGAGGACAAGAAACCTTCGTAACCCAGCAACTCTCGGACAATTTTTGCTGATCCCGTTGAATCTCGATTATTAACGTCATATATGGTACACATATTGTCCATTCCTCCACAAGCAACGAAATTTCCAGATGGGGCAAAAGCCACCGACATCACCCAAGCTGATCGCAGGGGAATTACTTGTACTTTATTACCAGTCCATGAATCCCAAATTATCAGTTTACCATCCAAGGATCCAGTAACACAGTGCCTATCCACACAAAATGATTTGTTTCTTCTAATAGCATATTAAATGAATTCGCAAGATTGAACATGGTACCGCTTAGTCCTGTAAATTTATTTTTTGGGAACTGCGTAAATATCAGAAACAATTTTTCTGGAACGAAACCATGCCTTAAAGTAATTATTTAAATTTGGGTTAAATTTAGAGAGCTGCCGTGCTTCTTGAAGCGTGAAATAAATATAGCGTTAAAATAGAAGCGTTAGATAAATATAGCATTTCTCCGTTTGAATAATCCCGTAACGTTTTAGAAATTTCTTTAACCAACCTGCTGTCCCCGCTGAAATGTACCGAGTTCACTTTGTTAATGTGCCCTTTTAGTAATTTTTTGGTGGATAATTTAACTTTTGGAGCATCAGCCAGGCCGCTGCATGTCTCTTCTAATGTTGCATCTTGTTGTTTCTTCTGGTCTTCCTGTAGCGTTGAAAATGATATTTCAATCTTCACGTTAGTACTTACACGATATATTATATTTTAATTACATTCGGCCATATTTGCAAAAAAAATTGCAATATAACAATTCTGACCACTTTGGAAAGCAACGACGAAATAACGAATTTAATTTGATAATTTTTCAGAGTTGAGGAATCCTTACAGGAGTGTAACTTTAACATGATGCAATGGCAACAATTCCTCCTCTCCTTAAAACCACTATTACACTAACCTTGCATTTGTTAATCAGATCCTCCAGTTCTTTCTTCAAAGCTGCTGTTTCCGAATCATCCTTCCCCATTGTTTAAGGTAACGGGAGAACCAGTTTTCTCTTACTGAAAACACAAGAACCTTCACTAAACTAGTGCCGATCAACGATCGGATAGTACTGGTTTCCGTTAAAATGCGAAAGAAGCCTCTGCAACGAGTGCTGCCCTAGTAATCATATTAAATCAACGTTTAATCCCATTTGTTCAGCATTAGCTCAGCTCTCTAGCGTAACTTAATTATTTTCTTATTATAAAAATGCTACCGCGAACGTTCAAACTTTCACAACTTATTTTACCTTCGTATGTTAAAGCGTCGACATTAAAACATGACTTTTCTATTTTGCAGCAGTTTTAAACTTATCGCCATCACATTCAACTAATATATCCTAATCTTGTAGTAAAAGTAAAATGAATTTTTAAAGAGGTACGAAATATATGCGACGTTCCTCATGGAGACTTAAATGTTATGTACAAAATTATTAAATTATTATACGAAACCAATTACCGATTAGATGGTTCGTATATGCGATACATTTAGCACGACACTACATATAACGTTGCAGCATTCATTTTATTCTTAATACATCCCTGGTAGCACAGAATAATTTCTAAACATTTCCTTGTAATCATTGCTAAATATCTCAAGCGACAGATTTTTTAAGATGTCTCGTAGATTTCATTCAAAGATATCTAAAATATTCGTTGAAAATCTCAATGACATATTTAGTTTCAATCATTTATAAACGTATATAGAAATTA